GCTTTTTCGCCTATAAAGCGATGAATCATGCTTGACGACGTGTTTATGTCAAGGGAGCAAATGTAACTGTTTCAAGATCTATTTTTGCCTGCAAATATGTGAAGCAACGCCTTAATTAACAGCTTCATCTTCCCCAGTGCCGATCGCCCACCGTTGCATAGCGTCTTGATCATTATCCGGGACAGGAGCAACAGAACTATAATTATGAGCTGTACCTGATGGCTGTTCTCCTGTCCTGTGATTTAGTTTTCAACGCTTGATAGGTCATGCAAATATATCCGGTCAGGCTGTTTGATACACTATGTTTTTACTCTCCATTTTAAATTCTCTCTAGAAATTGAGAAAAATTTAGTACGAGAAATATATTTTATCCTGAGTGCCATCAGACTACGGTATGAAACAGGTTGTGATGAATTGACCTAGTGACGGTGATGTGTCGGGTGTTATTGGCTTATTCGAATTATGTAGTTCAGGACCCTTCTGTTGTATGCAATTAGAAAAAACTTGATTCGTTATGTTTTACTCTTATACCTCGTAATTGTTTACATTGCGTTTTATGTCGTAAAGAGTCTTTTATGGAGATTTTAATTTATTCTCCTTGAAACTTTCTCCTGTTTTAATACGCTGATCTTCGAAAATTATTTTAGTAGGCTGATATCTAGTAAAATGTAACAACTATTGCCATACATATTGCTGTCCTCTTTAACGGTTAATGAAGACACGGAACAACAGAGTTATCGAGATTCGCAATATCTGACCTGCTCGTTTCCTTTGCTTTATCTTAGGCACATTGCCTGAGAGGTCACGAGTCATTTCTGATAGCAGTTAGATTCACCTGTTAGAATTGCCTGTGTGGAGTGTATAACTTTCATGTGCGTCCGTAGCTGATAGATTGTTGCTTTCATTCTTTTAAAATTTGTAATATTCTGTTTCCCTGATAATCGGGCTGACCTAGCCTTGATCCCTTTGGGCTTTTCAGACGAAGGATACAGTCATCGGAAATCCAGATGAAAAGATCAGCTGGTCATTATCGATATTTATTTCCAATGAAAGCATGATTATAAGTATTATAATTTCCATCTCTGAAATGAGAGTCACGATCAACGACTAAATATAACTGGAAATTGGAAGTACACTTTCTGGACAGTTTCTAGAAATAAAAAGGAAATAATTTTTCTTTGTGTGAAAAGCTTCGGAAATGGAGAGACTGCTGCAATTGATGAAATCCGCCCTGAAATGCTTAAAGCATTAGGCGAACAAAGTATGTTCTGGCTTACACGTGTCTGTTAAACTGCAATGACAACGGGGAATACACCAGCGGACCAGAGAA